TTATTTTTCTACATGTCACACTGATTCTAGTTCGATGAATTATGAAATTGAATTATGTATTGTCATAATGTTTATCTGAAAACAGGGATTACCAGATGGCTAACTGTGATGCTATATCAAAAATTAATGGAAAAGGAGGACCATTCAGCACCATTGGGTGTTATTAACTATAAGTAAATGCAGAAGTAAGGTCAAGTCAGTTTATCAATGAACATCCAGAAGGGAATATTGTGCGCTGAGTTTTACTTATGATCTTTCTCGACAGTTATCTGACTGGATGAAGATTAAGCGAGATCAGTTTTGTTTTATGACACTTATGTAGAAGCATATTTGATTGTCAATGCAAGTTAGTCAAGATTCAGTTATTCCTAAGATCTTCGCTTTACAAAACAGTCATAACTCCTGAACAAAATGATGTAAAGAAAATAAAGATAGTGATAAGTGTTCAAATGCGTTCAGGAACTGACCAATTTTATAAGAGATTCGTGGATTAAACTTCTATTATTTAGGTAAGAATAGCATCCTTCATGACCCAGCTAAAATACAGTAAATGCCTTAGTTCAATCACATTGGATGAAAAGATGAATAAAAAAACACAATTCCATTTTATAAAATGTCCAAAGAAAGCTGCTACATCAAAGCATTGGACTTATAAGCAAACTTGGTTATTATTTAGTTAGAAAAATGCATTTTATCCACACCTCACTGAGATCAAAAGAATATGCGTAGACAGTGAGACAGAAAGACATCAGGAAGTACTTATTTCGAGTAGTTGACTTGCCGTATCAATTTTAACTAACTCAAGGTTGAAGCAGAATTAAAAATTACCATCTAATTTGCACGAAAAAGTGGTTGCAATGAGTATCGTATTGAAATGAGATAACGTTACAGAACTATTGTCAAGTCAGCTTTTGAAGGCATTTAAAACAACTTGATTGTCTGGAGAGCGCTGTTGTGACTTATTTGTCTAACAGCTGATTTGAAGATGTATAATGGAAGAGTTTCTAGTTTTTAGTTATGGTAGTGTGTTTACCAGTTTAACTATTCTGCACGTACGATACATTCTTTCTGTATGCTTAAGAGAAAATCCCGATTGATAAGCCTTCAAGACTCGAAGTGGATTACTGAACATCTGCATGAATTTTGTCGTACTGTTTACCACTTTTTTCGTTTCCATTTACTGATGAATTTACGCGAATATCTGTCACAGTACTGATCCGCCAGTTGTATATTGCAGAGGTGTTGATATTGCAATGTTCAATTCAAATATTAAAAACTTTTGATAATATCGGTTCAAGTTGATTACGGTTGAATATATCCATCCAATTTTAGAATTATTTTAAGTCTCTAACATTATTCGACCTTATTTTTACTTTTTGACATGAACGTCGACAAAGTAAACTGACAGACAATAGGATTAGTATTTGAATTGTTTTAGTCTGTCTGTTTATCAAAAAAAAAGGTTTTCATGATCAATATCGAAGAAAGCTTGGTCAGCTAATATTGTAATTGATAAGTTTGATTCTAGGCAGTGTCATTACCGTTATTTTCAGTTTACACTTGGATATCGGGTAGATGATACAGCAGTTCAACTATCCTAGTTTGCAGTTTTTGTTAGGATAGTCTAGAAACTAATCAATATCTCAAGCATTGTAACCATATTCTTTGGCCATCTGAGGTGTACTGGAAGTTTTAACTGCTATATATTCTAAAAACCGTTTTTCGGCTAGTTGGTATTATTTTCTCTAAGAAACACCCGCATGTTTGTTAATTTGAAGTATATTAACTGTTCTGTGATGCACATCATCGTTCATTCGGCCGAATTTGAGATGGAATCCTAACTAGTTCTATGATGCAACTGATAGTTTTGGTGGGTCACGTTTATTATTAATCATTGCCACTACTGGTGGTAGTGACTCACAGCACACTTTGTGGAAATTTATCTTAAATCACAAATAGTTTGTGAACTAAGTCTTTTCCATTGTTTTTAAATAAATGGGTAATCATTCTTTGTAAGAGAACAAACTAATCAAGATAATTTCAGTGACAAAGACTTAGTTCCTGCATTTATTTTGGTTGCGTTCACTAACCAATATTAAGCGAAATAAACGTATTCTCCCCAAACTGAACAGTTTGATTTTATTGTTGGGTTGTTAAAATGAGTTTTAACCAATGAACATATAAAATACCTTCAAGTTAGGCTTCTTTTCTATTCAGTGTTTACTCTATTGTGATTCTCAAATGGGTTATAGGTGTCTATAGTTAGTCCAGGGGTAAGCACACTATCACCATCAACAATATGAGAATTTAAACAAGCTATGATCAAGATTTGAACGGATAGTATGACAAGTATTGGGCGCTGAGTAAAAGACTGACCTAAGACATAGATTGTATTTGTATAAAAAAATTCATTTGTACTTTTCAACATTATATTCCAACTGAAATGGAATGCATATCCGCCTCATCTATTCCATTGTATTTTTAAAATTACCGAATGACTGTAATGTCACCTATGATCGTTTTGTCTGATATTTACAATCAAAGCGAATATGAACTGGAAAACAAATACGTATATATATATATATATATATATATATATATATATATATATATATATATATATATATATATATATACGCCATTCGACAAGAGACATACAATTTCACACTGACTGATTAGTTATCATAATTTAGAAAGACAATGACTATACGAAGAGGATTGGACAAGGAGATTAAATACACGCTTTTTTGGATTCAATTATACATATCCTTGATATTTTACTTTTGATTATTTCCCTGAAGAAGGTCAGACCAGACTTTCGTGTGAAATGTTGGAAATATTCGATTTCAAACTCTCTGTGACTTACACAATACAATCTATATCTAATATGAGAATGGTTTGACTTGCCACCTTTCATGATGGTCTCTGTGATTGAAAATGTCGAATCAAAACAAGGAAAATGTAATTGAGAAGGGAACGAAACATTAAGGGGGAATTAAATGTTTCAGATTCTCAGAAAAGCATCTAATAAGTCTACTTTTAATGCTGATTAGTTTCGCAGAATAAAATGTTTAACCTGATTGTATGCAAAATCTAATTATAAACATTTATTGATAACAATACCTTGAACTTTTCACTAGAATATAATTCTGATAATTACTTTCAGTATTTCAAAATTATTGTATTGTACTAATTAGTTCTTCTTTATGGGCTGTCTAAAGTAGGTTTAGACCTATTATTAATATGAAGTCACATCTTGCATGCCAAGATCATCGTTATATTTGTATAAATAAGAAAACACTAGCCTGTGGGCTTCAAACAGCCTGAAAACTATAAATAAAACCATCAGTTAATGTTTCTTTAGTTAAAATTGACTACAAACGTACTTTTTTTTATTAAGGGGTAGGCTTACTCGATTAAGTATTCATCAATTTGATATGAAGTCAACACCAAGATTTTTTACAGTGAACTATTTTGAACTTTCTCACACATTTGTGGAGTGGTCGAAATTTAAAAGCGTTTCATAAGCTCAAGATAGCGAGATGAAAAAATAAATGAAAGTAACATCGCTTCAAGTTTAGCGCGAAACCTGGCTAACAGAGCAAAGAGATTACGTTGACCAGTTAGTCAGTCACGTTGGTAAGGCTGTAAGATGCTTTAACTATGCTCAACTATTCAGTTACATGCTTCAGGTTCCCAATTTTTTCCTAATTGGTAAATAGCGTCTGATATTCGATAAATCAGCACTTTAATGATATATTTTTGTGTTAAGAATGTTGACTTTTTAGGGACGGAAAAAAGCTAACGTGTAATTCAACCATTTTAGTCATTCATCTTTGAGGTAAAATATTTTAAGCTGCAAATTTCAGTTCTGGTACTCGGTATTCTGGTATTCGGTCAAAGGATTCTCTGATAAAGTGCTTTATGCTTTGTTGAGACATCAGAAGAAATTAATTGATCGTTTTCCTAGTTTATTTTTGTGTAAGCACCATACTTGATTAATTCCCACCTAGCACATTTATTCACACTGTTAAAGATCAAACTTAGTCTTCTGATATTTCCAAGGTTCAAGGAACAGTAATTTTGAAAGTTACTGAAAGCAAACCTTACCGGTCAATCTCTTATTTACGTTCAAATTACGATGGCTTTTTGAATTTCGTAAATGATTTCTAGGTTATTACAAAAATGCTTTTAAAATATCTTCTCTAGTCTTGGAAAGAAAGAGACTCGGCATAAATCAAGTCGAGAATTCAGATAACAATAAAAGTTTGAACTTACGAGATGAGGTATATCTGAGAATGAATTTTTTTTATTTATCTAGATCGGCTAAATTAGATGACAGCTTTCAATGTACTAGTCGGTTCATGCTAGTACGTCCGATATCAGTATTAATTAAATCCACAAAAATCAGTGATTAAAGTTTTTTCGCAGTCCATTTTGGTGTAGATTTATGCTATGAAAAGTCTAAAATCTTTTTGTAGCCCAATCAGTTAGCTTGCTAACTTGCTTGATTGTGATAAATTCATTATTGTTATTTGCTTTTTCTGCTGTAGGTGAATAAACTGATTAAGAAAAAGCCCGCAATGATAAAACTTCAGAATACTTTGTATTGTAACTATCAAATTTATTAAAAGAGTATAAAAGTTGAATAACTGCCTGTACGTATGAATAATTATTCAGAACTAGAATTTTTATTGTAAATGAATGATATTTTCATTTCATCTCAAATGATCGATCTGATAAGCCTCTAGTCATTTACAACATCATTTTTAGGCGACTTGAAATTCCCTACCGATATTTAAGTTTTGTTGAACCTTGGAATTAACTCAATTTTCAGAAAGTTCAAAATTCAGCAATAGGTAATTAAATGGTTACCTTTTTATTTCAGAATATAAAAAGGCTTTTATTTCACAGGAGTTCAAATCTTGACATATAGAATAATCAATCATCTTCCTATTTTTACTTATGATCTTTAGTATGTAATGTTTGTATAATTTCAGTGCAGTGGATCTACATATGGGTGATTGCATATATGCAATATCTGGTTATCCATTAGACTGGCATACATTAGAACAATTGAGACATAAATTAATTGAACTAGATGGGCTGTCACCGAATTCCAATATCTACGACTTGGCAACTTATCTGCTTAATAGACCATATCAAAATATTGGAGTTCCTGGAGATCATCATGGATTACATAATAATGGAATGTTTAAGGTTACTAGTGATATTCCGGATTCCGTAACTCTAGAACCACCAGTGCTTGTTCTTTTTCGTTATCCAAAGACAAATTTGTCATGGTCCAATGAAGTTAAAAGGAATGAAATAACGGAACCAAAGGTGGGTGTTAAATATACTATTGTGGCTTGTAACGATGGTTATAATGTATATCGTCATCTAAAAGTGGTAGACAAACAGTGTGTTATTTCCTCCAAAATCCTTTTTATTCCTTACGAAATATTATCATGCATTTTTAGACTTGTAAGATATTCATAGAGAAATTCAGATATTTTTGTTGTTGGAAGTAAGGATGTATCATTTAGTTGATTTTAACCTTGATTAAACTGAAAGCTTTTAAGGATGGATTAATTTGGCCTGTACATCTGATTTTCCTTTGTGAACTTTATAAATTGAAAACGCTTTATGTGGCAGGTATACACGTACTTGGAAAAATGGTATTATAACTTCTGAGCACAGCGCTCTGACAGTGGGTTGGTATTCTCAGTGATTTACACGGCATCGATGTTGAAGTATTCACAATAAAGAAAACTGAAATAATGTGTATAACCAATCATGTGGGATTATAATAACTAGGTTCTCAAAAATGCTGATTCATTATACTTCATATAGATGTATAGGGTTACGAACCCTGTAAAAGTTGACGTTATGATGAACAACTTCAATCTGATTTAAGTGAAGCCATACAATATTTTTAAGAGTAACATTTTCCTTTTCAATGCTTTGTTAATTGCAATTTATTTCTCATCTTGCATGTGATTAAGAAATCGAACCATAATGACCTGCGAAAGTGATATGTATAAGTGCATCTGAATCCTACAAAGACATTTGATAGTCTATACAAATTATTCCTATTCGTTTAAACAAAACTTTAGGTATTGGTAGATGAATTGTTTAAGTGATTCGAATTCAAACGTAGTGGCATAGATATATTTACTCCTTATTAGCTCTGAAGTTGTAAATGTCTCATCAACATCTGTTTATTTATTCACTCTCTTCTCACTAAATTTACGGGTTTTATAATCATTACTTTTCTGTTCGCCTTCACTTTGTTCGACGTACTTTTGTTCAAGGTTGTGATTGAAATGTTGGTTTGTGCATTAAAAGACTGGAAGAAACTTCCTCTAAGCTTGCATTCAAAGTACCTCAGTAATTTGTGACTGCATTCACGAAATTACCTTAGTCATTCTGAGTATTATAAATAAAACTGCTTGAACGTTTCTGGCATTTATTATCTAAATTAAAACATTTACTGATAAATAAACGTATCGGGTAGAGGTAGATAAGACATCGTTCACTACTGATGAGTTGGAGGCAAAGGATTACAGAATTTCTTTAAAGAAGCTTACATTTTTCGCTAGATGAACGAACAAATGGTCTGGACGCCTATAGTAGAGGCATGATCATAACCGAAACATACTTTTGATCCATGGATTGTACATATTTAATACCGGAGTCTGTCATGGCTGTTTTGAGCAGCTGCTTTCCATTTATGATATTAACACGGAATGCTTTATACTAGGTTGTTTACCAAAAAGTAACAAAATGGGACATTTTTATAAGTTGAAATCAAACCTGGTTCTTCACACGGTTCGAATAAGAACAGATAGTTAAGTATCAGCTTAAATGTACTGGGCCTGGAGATTTGGAGATCAGGGATTTGTTTCGTTCAACACAGCTACACTCATCATTCGTGACTAAGGTAGATCTTAAAACCATGGTTACTTCAGATATTATAACCGACGGTTCTGTACATTAGTAGGCGCATATTCGCTCGTACGTACCAAAAGTAATACTTTTTTCCAGCTGCAGCAAAAGGTGTTTGAAACTGGAGAAGGCATCTGATTTCTACCTTGCCTCATACTAATCACATAATCATATATTTATAATCTTACAACTCAGGTTATGTTGAAATCGGTGGCAAAGAAATGATTAGCTCTTTATAAGGTACATTTATTCTCGTCTTGTAATGTTATGTTGCTAAATTTTCCTCAGTAGTCATACACTGCTGTAGAAAACAATCTAGCTAAGAAGATTAATTTGTAATTCAGGACCTTTTACCTGAGAAGCAGTAACGTGAACTTCAGGCAAAACATTAGTAAGATGCTACGATTTTTCATAAGTTTTAATACATAATAATAATAACAGACTATATAAACAAATACAGTCTTCTTCGTTTTCAAATCCTGCAGAATGTTGTCAAAAAAGGTGAAGTTAGATATTATGAAACAGTGCTTGAAAATAGTTCAGACGACACAGGATTAGGTTTACAAATCGGATGTGACCAAGGTATGTTTCACTTGATACCAAAGTTCTTTTTACTTTCATTGAAAGTCATAACTCTTCTTCCCTATTGTCCCTTAGAGCGTACAACATCTGCACTACAGCACTTGTGGACATACTGAACAATTGGCATGGTTTCAGAAACCAAGAGCTTTAGAAACGACCATGGTTACTTAATATTCAGTAAGAGGTTCATGAAATAATTTAGTCACTAGTTCCACTTTTAAAATCGAATAGTGAATATACACCACTTGGCTTACTAATTTTTGAAAGCTTCTATGGTTTTAACCGAAAAAAAACATTGTTATATTCAGTAGTTAGAATGTTTTACTGTTTGTAATATTCTCTTCATCGTCTTATTTTTTGATATCAACGTTGCAATGTAAAACTCACTGCGCTTATACTGTTTAAAAGTTTTCTTAAGGCAACTTTCACGTCATTTTTATTAATGGTATCGTGTACAAAAGTCGAAATTTGGTATTAAAATCTAGAAACCTATTGTAAACAATAATAAACTCCTGATTTTCATTTGATGAACCAAAGTGGTGAATACTATATAATAAGTTGTCATTGTAACTAGTACACACTAGTCAGTGGTCTTGTGTTAGTGGCAATGGACATTAGATTAAAGTGTTGATAAGAGCATTGTAATAAATGCATGTGGATCCCAAACTACAGGTCCTGAGCAGAATCCATTTTGAACAAGAGACGTAGAACCCCTACTGAATGGGCTGCAGAAATAAATTACTAAAATTACCCATTAGACAAACAGAACATCCCTGGGATTGTCCAGAAGGTGTATTAAAACACATCCTTCAAATTTATTTGTATAATGTGTGACGAAGCATACTTCAGATCGTTGAAACTTTAGTCATCGCCATCAAGATCTTAAGGAAGAGTAATCTTGTTTCCCACATTAAAAATCAATCTGTCATCTCACTAGACACCGCTAACGACTCAAATTTATACCGGAGGTTGTTCACGTATATTCTATACCCATCCATCTATTCTTTACCCTCAAAAACCACATTTTGAAACTCGTTTATTTTTAATTTCTCATTCCTAAGGAAAGTTAAATATAAATTTGTTTGACAAGTTGATGCATGATAAGATTGTACACAGCACCTTGTGAGAGTACACTACTTTACGTTAAAGAATCCTTTAGCGTCTTTTAGAAATTCATACAAGCAAATTACTTCTCCATTTGTAAAAATAATTTTCCTTATGGTAGTTGAAAGTTTTTGACTGTATGAAACCTGTTGGTCACTTGTTGCCACATACCTAAATTTCTTAATGTATTTGCAGCCGTTTATTTGTTCGTATCACTTTAGTTGTTTTCAGTTGGAAACGACTTGGTTGGTGTTTATCCTGCTCAGTTTCACTGGTCTGAAAAACATCTAGATGACAACAGTGCGTGAGGCACAACTGGCAAAGTATATTTTGAAAAATACTAAAGACTTGGGAATTATTATCAACTAATTAAGATAATAGGGTTTCCTTTTTAAGTGGAGCTTAAGTAGACGAGTATTATAGGCAGTTGTTCTCTCTGTTTAAATGAATGTGTACGCAACTAAAGTTATTATATGGTTGTGCTTGGAGTTTCTCGCAGCAAAACTTGTGAGCTAATGACACTACTCGTTTGTTTTATCGAACACCCGTCTACAATAGCCATTTCGTTTCAACCGATTCAACGTAGGAAAACGTAGGAAATGAGAAACTGAACTACGATACTTTTAAAATGAGGAATTCAACTTTGTTTATAAAATCATCTAGGAAAGCAGGCGTTTAGCTCTTCTGTAGGTATACGAAACTATGGATGCTGTAGAGCATATTGTATAGGGCTGTTTAAAAAGAGTTTTAGATAAGCAGTAATAGTGTATCACGTCTCCAGGACCAAGAGTATTGTGAGAAAAATTGAGGAGTCATATATACAGCAAGGTTGCTTTTGAGATGCTAGCACCAACAAGGAAAAAGGCAGAGGATGAAAACAAGAAAATATTACAATTTGTTAACTTAAAAGAAACGTAGAGTTGAGATACTTGTAGACTGTTGAACTGCTTGCTGTCTCCCATCTAGTGAGAAGTATTACAATGAACCATATGAAGACACTACATAACAAACCGGCTTATTTTTGACGCTGAACTTCGTTGCATACTTCGGTTCTGTTAAAGTATTAGAATGGTATTTTACTGGTTGGTTTTCAGTATTATATGATCGTAGACAGTTTATCTGTGTCAGTTTAGCATGATTCTGATTTCGATTAAAGTTTTCTATGATTTTAGGCATACACTTTATGTTGAATTTTATTTCTACGTCCTATCTTTAGTTAGCACATTATTTCCGGCTATACTTTGAAGGTTGTAAATATGGTTGTCTAAGGCTTTAGGATAAGACAGCAGAAATTTCGTTGGTGGAATTTCCTCATAAGACCATTGCTGGAACGTTTTGAAATGTTTTAATCTCACGTAGTACTGACATGTTGTTTATTTACTCTATTGGGTGAATTTGACAGATGAAAAAGGAATCTTAATTGTCTCCATATTCAAAAATAGTCAAGCTGAACGAGATGGTGTTTTGAGAGAAGGAGATCATATAGTCGAGGTGAGTGTTTCCTAATTTCTTCGAATGTTCTTATTAACTTCCTTATGCATCACTGAAAATTCATTTTGTATCATATTTTCATTTCGCTAAAGAAGATTAGAGCACGAGTCTTATTTGTAACTCCTTTTCACAATTTTTTCACAGTACTCACAGTACCAAAATAATTTTCAGAAGTAACTGGAAAACCTCTTCAAAGTACTGTATATGATCACTTAATTGCACAATGGTTTTCTTGAGCTATATTGTTCAGTCATAAATAATCATAAAGTAACTAAAGTACTGTTAGTCGCTTATTCAAATTATAAAGCATGACAAATAAACATGGCTATTTGGTATAAAAGTGTCCACTTCTTTTTAAATTAAACAGATAAGAGAGGTTCATTAGCACTGAAGTGAAGCTCAATAAACATTTTAAAAACACCAGTTTATTTTTGAAGTATTCTGTATACTACATTCCTACTAGAACTCGTGAATTCCTAGTAGTCTTTCGTGTATGATTCCTAAGAAAGTTCGACATTCTATAAGAAGCCGTTTTTATAACTCAGGATCAAGGATAATACTCTGGTTTGCTAGTTGTATTGAACAATGTGTGGCAGCAAAATTTTTGGAAATCTTTGCTTGCATTTTAAAAAAGCAAGCATGTTGATTAGGACCACCTATTGACACCATTAATGAGCAGAGAATTATTAAATACTGCGGAGTTTTCTGAAAACGAACAGTGCAGTTCACAGATCTCCGGAAAATATTTATTTTAGAGAATATTTCTAGGATTTTTTGTTGATACTTGTAATCCTCCGTCATACCGGATCAAATTGGCATGTGGTTTCCTATGCGGATGCTACTATTCTGGGTGTAGCTAGCAGTGGAATCCAGGACGCGCGTTTCGTCCCGTTTGGGACTCGTCAGCTTGATAAACCTAAGGGATAATGCTTAAGCGTCTGAAGCCATGGGTACTGGGTTCAAGTCCTAGCAAGGACAACATCACTCACTGGGGTGCAGATATATCCAGCTGACGAGTCCCAAATAAGATGAAACGCATGTCCTGGATTACACTACTTGTCAGTTGTCTCTAGAGTGTCAACTAAGATACGACTTCAGTGGCAGATAAAACCGAAAAGTATTGGTTCATATTCTTTCTTTTATGTCCTTTAATTACTATTATGGACACCCCAATTTAGTTTTCCTGGTACTTGGTTTTGCTTTGTTAACTGAAGCTAAATACAATCAGTCTTTTAAATTCATTCTTTATCAACAATGATTAATTTTATTCCAAACTTTATCACATGAACCCCAATGGTGAGGTTAGATAATATGCGATAATGATACTGTCAGTTATTTTTACTGTCACAAAATCTATTTTAGGCGTCCTTGATGAAGAAGCAACATACAGTACAAATATTCGTTTTTGAGAAATATTGTTCATTCAACAACTAGTAATTTAAACTGTGAAGCCACAAATCTTATCATTTGAAAAGAATATCGTAGTTTCCAAAGAAAACGTCAAAACTGAATTTCCTTGGTTTTTTTGTACACCGACATTGTGGAAGGATTTACAGTCCCCGAAATACTCTAATAAAATTTTGGGACCATCGAAATTTTACACAAATACTGCTTATAAGAATGTTTTGGAGTTAAAATCCCTATGGCTGCGCATAAGGCTTTGATGAAATATTAAACATTTTGTGTACTTCACTGGCCAGTTTTCATATCTATTGAAGTCTGTTTGGATTTTCTATCATGACTCAATGTGAACACTGTTTCGAAGATTTAAAAATCATAGTAATTGCTTAGAACAGTCAAGTGTAGCCTTAATACCTACGACTAAGTCTCCAAATTGGTAAAATGAAATCATGTTCATGATAAAGATACTTATAAATGAACTATTGGTTGTATAAAGTTACGAACGTAACAAGACATGAGATAATAATTTAAATAGACAGAACCACTATATGCCTTCATGATGTAATGAAAGCATGGAAATGAAATGAATATTTAGCATGAAGACCATTCACATCTGATGTGCTTCAAAAGAAATACTTTGGTGCCCAAATGAATGTATTATAATCCTTATAATCTCGCTACTAGTTAGAGGTGGATTGACCGGATGCAAGTAAATAATATTTTGGATGTTTACTGGCCGATGAATATTGATTAGTTTATTTGGTCTCTGAAACTGCTTTTTTCCGAATCTCCTATCTAATCATGAAATGACACTCAGTTAGCACTGACAAGTTGTTTTTACTTTATGACTATATAGGGTTTATTTACAGCTGTCGACGGCATTTTCTTACTTTTTATTGCTATGGCGAATAAACTCACAATAGCATACTTTTATGGTGTTTGTTGAATCGGTTAGCTTGTATGATCTGCAACACTTTTGAGTTAGTCCAAAAAATATCCTCTAACTTTCTGGGTAAACAAACGCCTTGTGCTAGTTGACTGGATGTAGTCAGCAGGGATTTCTGGACCTAGGCATCGTGTTTGTTGGCAATCATCGACAAGGCGTATCTGAAACCTCGGGAAACTTGATTTTTCCCATGTGACTTGAACCTGTATCACCCAGTGTTGCAGTCAGTGAGGTAACCACTGAGCTGTTAGGTCTGCAGTTGACTTCTTGTAGAACTAGGTTACACATTGATTGGTCACTGAAGAGAAACCAATTTCCACGACTACCCACAAGCTTTCATTTCTTCCTCCCGCTATCTCCTCTATGTCACTCTCACCTCGGACGCCCGACTCGTCGTTTCCCCTTTGGATTTCACTCGAGGCCTAGTCTGGCATGTGATGTCCCCAAACGGTCTTCTCAGGGTATGCTCAATCCATCTCCACTTTCTTCTGAATATTTGTTAGTCGATGACTTCTTGGTCGGTTCGTTGACAGGCCAGAGTTCCTTGTTGTTTATTCTTTCTGACAATCCATCTGGTCTTCAGTATCGAGTGTGTGTAGATGGCAGCTAATGATGTGTGTCTGTAGTTTGTTGGAAATGCTTTCGTGATGTGCTAAGTTTTGAACCATATAGAAGCACTGACTTGCTTGACTGAATTAGTGTTGGAAATCCGGATCTCGTTCACGCTTTGTGTTGAGTGGAGTGCAGTAGACACTGAAGGCCTGTCTTGCTGTCTTTCCGATACTGGCTTTGACGTCCTCATCCGCCGCCTGTAGTTGAAACGATGCTGTCTAAGCAGGTAGGTGAAAGAGACTACTTCCTTTGGGTTTCTCCTGTTGATGGTGGTTGGTGATTTGTTGTTGTTGGTTGGGTATCTTCATCACCTCTGTTATCTCTACGTTCCTTTGAAGTTACATCTTCGCTGCCCTGACTGTTCTGTCAACTTATTAGTTTTTGTCTGTAGATCTTCAAGCTTGTACGACATTAGACATAAATTATCATCGGCGAAATCCAAATCTTCTAGATCTCCCTTCATTGGAAGTTTGACAAGGTAGGTCTTTTTCTTCGGAAAGTATCTCTCTTTCCTTCTTAACCTTCTGTAGTTGTGGTGTGAACATGTCCGCTGTGGTCTCTACTTCTCTTTTCAGTGCTTCTGAGGGGATTCAATCTGGTCCTGCTGCTTTCCCGGATTTCAGAAAATTTATGGCGTTCAGGACTACACTTCTGCTTTTGTCGGGGGGCTTGTGTTCACTGGTAATTCTGTGACTAGACTGTTGGTGGTATTTCTGGAAGAATTACAGGTGGTAGTGGTGGTCGATTTAAGAGCCTTTTGAAGTTATCAGCCCTCTGTTTCCTTTGTTTCTCCTCTTTAGCGGTAACTATGTTTCCTTCACTATCTTTCATTGGTTTTGCCTGCGTTGATCTCTTCCCTCCCAGATGGTAACCTGGTTATTTCATACAATGTTGTTAGGTCTCTCCCACCTGCAGCCTGTTCTGCTTCACTTGCCAATGTGTCGCAGAAGCGTCTTATGTCTTTCCACCCACTCTTCTTCACTTCTTTGTCCAGTGTTTTATACATTGTACTCAGTTCCTCTTCTCGTTGTTCATCCCTTGCATTGGTTCATCTTCTGCTTCACCATCCTCCTCTCCCTCTCCCTCCTCTATCAGCTTCCATGTGTCCTTCGAGATTCATTCTTTTATCTTCTTTCTTCTTCCTTCCTAATATGGTGATGCAAGTTTCCTTCCACATCTCTCTCAAAGAGTTCCAGTGTTCTTCCACACAGGTTCCTTCAGGGATGTTGCTCGATACCACCCATTTTGTCTTGATGGCTGACGTGAAGATGTCCCCTGTAGTTTCGTCCTTCAGTTTCTGTTGTGGGTGTTGAACTTGAACTGTGATCTGTCTATCACCTACTTCTGTGAAGGTTTTCAACTTGATTTTGAGGGTTCCTTGCATTAATAGTGAGTGGTCTGAACCTACCTTAATCTGCTTCCCTTCTTGACCTTGTGTCAAGTAGCTTGCGTTTCCACTTTCTTCACGTTGTGAAATGAAGTCGATGTGGTTTTTAATGTGTCCTGCTGTCTGGTGAAATCAAATCCATGTCGCTGTCTTGTGAATATCCTTGTGTTTGTACACACTGCCTGTCTCCAGTCACCAAATCGTTGAGTGTGCAGATGTCTGCAAATAGTTCTCCATTCTCATCCGTCACTTCACCGAGTGCTTCTCGACGCATGGTTAGTTCTCTTCCTGCGCTGTCTGCTCCGAGTTTGGCATTCATCTCGGTCATCAGAATTTTGATGTCACTGTGTGGGCTGGGGTCTTGTGCAGTACTGATTGCAGTTGTATAATTCATTTTTCTTCTCTTCATCTGCATTATTTGTAAGTGCGTAGCCATGTATGTTTGGGATTTTCCTTCCTTTCGGTTTGAATCTTGGTGTCATGATCCTGATCGTGGAGGAGATCGGTTCCTACTGCATGAAAGCCTTAGATGCTGTTGGGAACATCACGGTAGCCACTCCTTCAGTGTGCTTAAGTGAACAAATGAAAGGTAATCTGTTACAAAATGAAGAATATTCTATTCATTAAATATTTTCCTTATGGAATTGAGTTTTCAAGTAGTAATGTGCGAATAACACTTATGGCATTTTTTCAGGCTACAACGTAACTCTAAATAACCTATATAACAGTATCTTCAGTTTATTCATCTGCATTTTATCTTTTTATTGTTGTAGGTAAATTACCAAAACCTCGAAGGTCTGGAAGCCAAACAAGCCTTAAAGAAAGTCAAAAGCATATGTCGAAATGCAAAGTTCGTACACATTAAGTGTTCCAGAAATTTGAAAACGGATGACTATGAATGTAAGTTTATGACATTGTATTTGTCTGCAGTTTTCACTGGGTTTATTTTTGTTTCCTCAAAGTGTTTGGCTTGATAATCTTTGCCTTCCTCATATAGTCTGGAAAGTGATTGCAGCTAACGGTCAAAACAGTCACTGATATTGCATAGAAGCATAAACTGAAAACCTAAACATACTTTGATCACTCGCAATCATCTTAGCACCAGCACAAATATAATCCATTACCATAATTCATGAATGTTTTTATACTCCCTCCGTAAAATGTTCCTTCTTTATCAATTGCTTCAGTTCTTTCTAGCGTTTACAATAATATGGCATGTAAAACACACACAAGTACTTAGGAATAGTTTGCAAATACGTTCCCATGTGTATGGTCTTTATAAATTCTTACTTAGAAGTATGAACAATACTGAAGTGCAATAAATTCCATTATCTGCACATAAGTACATGAAGTAACTTGATATGAAAACTGTCACAAACAAAGAAACAAGCAAATCCATGAGCTTAGGTTAAACTTTTGGTTATGACTTCTGTGGTCAGAAGTACACAGTTAATGAGCTTTTTAATATTTGGTAATACTTAATAAACTTAAACGTTTCTTTTTTAGTCATGTTTCCATGTGATAATGAAGAAAAGCAGTCTGAAGATAGAGATGTGGTAAATGACAGCAGTCAGGAAATGATAAGCACTGAAGATTGCAATAAAGGTGACAGTACTGAAAGAGATGCAGTTACAAGCCCAGATCCTCCAGAGAAATCTTTACATAGTCTTCAAAGTGGTTCTGTTTCTCCAGCTGACTCAAATTACAATGAACTGAGCAAAAATAGTCAAGGTTACTATAAAACTACTTGCTTAATTTTATGTATATACTCTCGAGTAAATATTTCAGTTAACTTTTCCCTTTTTTAATCAAGTACAACCAATGCAGTTCCCATCATTCCACCAGTCTGTACTATCAGTACAGTGACTAGTGTCGGCAAGGACGAGACTAGTGGACTAGACAACTGTGTGTTTACAGGTTAATTAATACTCTTTGTTATGTATACGGTTGACTGATATGAATATAAATAAGTATTTTCATGAAAAATATATAATTTGGAATTGTATATGATTTCAGACTTTGACTAGCTATAAAGTATTTAATTTTTAAAAGTGGACATACCTTCGAATTTGTAGGCAGAGAAAGTAGAATATTAGCTGAAAATAGGATTGGAAGACTTCCAGTAGTTTCCTTGCACCAATCTCCTACATCTTTTGTTCATTTCATTAATATTAGTAGTAATGATAGTCTATACTTTTCTGACTTCAAACAAAATCCACATAGGAAATGCGTGCTCATTAAAACATCACTAAAGGTGAACCAAGTAGTAGTGTCATGTGAAGAAGCTATCTGATGCCGCCAGTCATATGGTAATCATGTCCGCACACTTATCACTTTCTTACCTGTGTAAATTGTTAAGTAATAACAATAACATCCTCATAATTCTAGAAATCTTTTGTATGTCATCATATCAAAAATGAAGTTTGACCAAGAGCTCAAAAATTTCTGTTAAGAAATGCACATAGTTCACCCTTATAACATCATTACATACTTACATTATTTTATTTATGATTTTGGGTGCGTGGTAGTTTCAGAAAGTAATTTTATAATAACAGGTGGCTTGAGCAAAGTTAGCTCACTGAATAAAAATCCTCCTTACAGTTGAGGCTAAAAAATCTAACGGTTTAACTAGGCTTGCTACATCCATGCTGTCATTGGTCATCTGTTATGCATGAAATAGAGTTTTAAAAATGTCATAAATTGTTTGGAATTCTAGCATAAATTAATCACTTACAGAAGTCAGTAAAGAAAAAATATCTAATCATCATTGAATGTAACGTATTCTGGTGAGCAGGGACATATTTTGAGATACATCGTACCTTGCTATCGCTTACCAAGTAGACTGTGTTCCGAAGACTCCATGAAATTTCACACTTTTCATTAACGTCTGGTAAAATGAAACAACAATAAAAAAATTTGATTTATGTCTCTGAATAATTCCCAAACTTTGGTGAGTTCACTTTTCAAACGAAAGGATCCAACCACGTAGGATGCTAACTGGACGTACTTTTGGGTACAAAGTATTAGTAATAGCTCCACCAGAGCTGGGGTATTAGATGAATATATTTTTAGTTGCGAATCGGTGAAAATATAATTTATTAACAAATGAACTTCATCTGAGAACTATACACATCTGATTTATAAATTCAGAATGTGACAAGCCATGGTTTTTGGACTCCACTGATGAGTGTCGGAATTTCAGTTGAATAAATATTTACTTAGATTGATCATTAAACAATTCATTCTCCTCTTCATTCATTTCACTATGGTATCATAAAAGAATATAAAAGCGTCATGGATACCGACGATGATGAAAATATTCTAATTAAATGGATGGATATGTTTGATCCTGATGTCAAAATACTGGTAAGATAGTTTGTGATTTCCACATAAAATGTATATCGAATAATGAATAAAACACAAAGTTTTTTTACAACTTAGGGCCTAAAAACTTACATGAATTAATATCTTGGCATTTCACACGGAATTCATATAATTTTTGTAAAAGTTATAACTTGGTTGAAAACGAGGATTAGCATCATGAATTAATTACCGTATTGCGAAAGTTACATGTATGCTCAGTCGCAAATAAATAAATGATAAATATATCTGTTAGCAGTTTAGAAAAAATGGACGAGTATTTGTGGTTTCAAATATTCATCACGGATAGCTGGACTTTACGCATCTCTTTTCGCATCATAAATGTTACCTGGTAGTATGAGTTTGCTAGATAAACATTACAAATCATGTGAAAGGCACTTCTTTTACGTGGTGTGATTTTCTTAAACTAGTTCAGCTAAGAAGAACAAGAGCCGAAGGTTAACATTTAGTCAATGGACTCACTGAATAAAAATACTAAAATAATCTGGAAAAAGAAATAGGCTGTCACATCCATTCTTCTGAAAATCCCAAGGATTCATATATGACCAGTGTGAATGTATTTCAATGTGTTTTCCCCCTTGTAATTTCACATCTCATTCTTATACTTTGAATACTTCAGAAACTGCATTAGCTGAATCTTTGATTGACAATAGACAAGATATACTCAAAGGAATCTATATGCACTAAGTGGAAGACATATTTATGCAACATCATATGAATTTGTTTGAATGACGACATTTATAAAAGATGTTCATACAAAAGATTATTTATTATGACACAATTTCGGTCAAACACATCACGATCAATAATGCTGTCCGACATGTTGGTAAATTATATTTGCTTGCGAGCAAATATGTACTGAATGATGTTAGAGTCAGTACAACAGCACAAAAATTGCTCAAGCCATTGACTGAGATGTAATGAAAATAGCAAATATTAGTTAAAAAGAAAAACAAAATGGGTTACCGCTATTTATTGTTTGTTTTTATTAGAATTTGGAGTTTGAATGACCACAAATCTATGCTGAGTTATTCATTTTCACCAGGTGCTAAATAGTTCACAATGCTATGCAATACTTTGGATGATAGACATTTGATAAAGTAATATAACCTTGTAAATATTATTTCACACTATAAGTTTTTCAGTTATACAAAAGGGGGATAAAAAGGAAATTATGAGAAAATTGAAGTCATTTCTGACAGTTTTAAATAAAAAGAACGTACTAGTAATATTAGTGTACGGAAAATCGTTTACCTCAGTTATTACCAGAACTTTGCCACAGGGGTACAAATTCTGAAAGAGAACTTGATGGTTCTACATGTCTTAAATATTGAACACATTTGAGTACTTACATTTTCGATAGTCCTGTCAAGAAATCAGGTTTGGATACAATCTCTTAATTAGTGATGTAGCGTGATATCATCCAATGTCATCAGTTACTAGGATTTCTTACTCAACAAGCAATCTAACGAATTAATCGAAATTCACGCAGTATTCTTGTACTAGTTTATTCAGCAGACAGTGGGTCACACGTATTGTGTGAGAGCAAACGATAATACTCGAAAGCCAAAACTTCGATACATGTAGCTGTTTTCCAACCTGTGATCAATCAGATGGAAATCAAGTACCGATAC